TCTGCCCTTTTCTTGGGCTTAGGAAACTGGGTAGTGGATAGGCTTCTTGTCATTGTCCTGGTATTAGATATGATTGTCACCTTTTCCTGACAGATACCTCTGCCTTTAACAGCTGCATGAGAGGTAGAGATCCAAAAGGTAAAGCCTTTCTTGTTATGGAGACGCAACGGTGGAAAACAATGCAACTTCTGTGTGTCATGTAAGTGTTAAAGGCACATTTTCTCCATCAGGAGAACAGCTGAGAGCCCAGCTCATATGAGAGACCATTTTGACCTGTAAGCAGAATCATCAGGAGTTGGACAGTAGGCCTCACAGATTCTCCTTCCTGATTTTTCATGGTGGTGTGGAGGGAATTGACATTCAATCTGTATGGTGAGAACTTGTACATCAACAAAAACAGTGAAAAAGTCTGAGACTACAAGAAGCCTACATTTGCCTCACTACTAAGTTATTCCAACCTGTCCAATTATGGAACCCAGTTTCCAGGCGGGAAAAATGTGTTTCCCAGGCAAGTTTATAAATACGTAAAATCCTTGCCTAATTTGAAACAGAGATATTGTTTCTTCCCTGCTGTAACTTCCCCACCATAACAACCTTTCCCAACCTGGCACCTTCCAGATATGTTGGATTACACCTCCCATCATCCCTAGTTTGGCTGGACTGAAGGGATTTGCAGTCCAACACATCTGGAAATCACCCAGATTGAAATAGTACAAGCATAATACTTGCTAATGGGTTGTTTGGAGATTTCCAGTCTACTTTTGTGGGAGTTTTTAGTCACCTCTGAATGGAAGTTCTCTTTTATAAAGTGATTTCTTCTTATAGCCCAGCACTAGAGACATAAGAGATTTTGCAAAGTTGCATTGTCCATTTTGTTCAGCTGAAGTGTTTTGGAGAGAACCATCTTGATAGTGGGTGTTCGGCTGGTTCTGATTTCTGAAATGGCAACAAGATGGCCTATGACGCCTCTGCCATGTAGCTTATTGTCACAAACAGCTCATTGGCTCTAGCTTGTTTGGAAATTAAGCTTAGTATGGATCATGGATTGATTTCTGTGCATGCTCTCAGTTCAGAAAGTCTCCCCATAAGGCAGTGTTTCATAAGTCATCTCCAGATCAACTATCCAAGTTGTTCAAAATACAGTAAATGCACAGTATTTGCTCATTCATTCCTAAGATCAGAAATCTTCTTCTAGGGATTGTTTTGGGGTAGGAGGAGGAACATATGGACAAATGCCACTATTCTTGCTGGGAAAAAGTGATTGACCTTCAGTACCACTGGCATGTGAAGCAGAGCTGAATCTGGTTGTACAAATCTCTAGAACAGTCAAAGTCCAACACAAACAGCTTGTGCTCTAGCCCTTGGCTGATGTAATAATCCAGACTGCTTGACCATCATTAATGGTGGCTTCAATTTGATGAACAGAAACCATGGCTAGCCTAGCTGATAACTGAACTGATATGCCAGAAGGGAGGATGTAAGGGTCACCACTGCAGGCTTCTGATGCTTAACCAACTATTCAAGTAGCAGTGTCACATCCTCAGCATTATCTTCATTAGTAGCCTATTAATAATTGCAGATCATATTAAAAATGACCTTTTGGTTGGCCTAATAAAGGGATAACATTAATAGGGATTTTGGTTGCATTCAGTAATACTGTAGAACAGTTTGTTCAAATGATCTCTGTACTTCTTTGTCCGCTCTTTAACTTGTGATATTAGCTCCCAGTGTACTTGTGTAATTTTTGTTCCAGATCTTCATCTGCAACACAGGCACCCAAACAGGTGCAAAAGTTGATTCATTTCAAGACAAAAAAAGAAGTCCCTCCCTCCTCTTGCAAGCTGTTCTACTCTCCATTCCTCCGCCCACAAGGGTGCTTCGAGACCAATTTTTGGCTGTGCTACCAAAAATTATGCAGTCAGTCTGCCTTTCCTTGTGGAAAGAAAAAGGATGGAAGAAGCCATAGAAACATGTGGGAAGGTTTCAAAACAGTGGTAAACAGATCCTTTAGTTTCAACTTCTCATTCTTTCATTAATTTCAGCTCTTCTTGATCTGAGAATTTCTCTAGTTTTACATTTGGATCATCCTGAACTTTGAAGGTTTATTTTTTAAAAAAATCATGAAAACTTATTTAGCATTCGTGTGCACTTTTCTCCTAAGACATGAATTTTTGTAGCCATTGTTGTTTAGTATCCACGGTTTTGGCAAGCAATTTTCCCAATAAAATGCAGTCTCTATACCTTCCCTAATACATCCACTTTTGTAAGCATTTTTGTTTGGAGAACTGAATTGTAAAATTCGGAGAAGTGCACATTTCAAAGGATAGCTGAACTCTGGTTCACATAGTAGTTTGACAAGTGCAAAACTGGGTAAGCTCACTTTAAAATTAAAATGGAAACTGAACACATTCCCCACCCCACTTCCGCACAAATAGAAGATAGCTTTTTCTGCCCCTCTTCTCTTTAAATGAGATAGAATAATTGCATAATAAAACCTAGTTTGGAAGTACTCTTAAAGACTTCAACCGGAGCTTGCTGCTCAGGTGAAATTGACAATACTACTGCAGATGGGTCATAGCAGTTTTAGCTCCTGAGTTACTTCTCAGTCTTGGTTCCTGAGTAAACTCTTCTTTGCACAAAAAGATGCCTCCTCGCATATTTCATAGTATACCAAGCAGCCACTGAAAAAAGCTCCCCATTTATTGTTACATGTAAACTGAGGATATTACTCCCTTTGAATAGCAACTTGCAGAACTTTCCTGGAAAGCCCCCAGTGTAACAGAATTATTACAAGGTGGAGTAATCATGGCTAAAACAACAACGTTGCTGCCCTCTATTGGGCACTATGATGTTCCAGATTTGTCAGACTGGCTACTTACTACAAGGAAAAAATGACTCCAGCAGGGCTAAATAGGTAGGCAGTATGATAAGAAGATAAAAGCAACACTGAGAACAAGAATTGAGGAAACTGCTGGCTGAGTTTTTCAGATCCACAATTTTTGTTTTTTTCAAATTCTGCTTCCAGCCTGAGACCTGAGACTGAGGGTGCCCAAAGCATCCAGCAATAGTTAGGTGGTTAACTGGGGTTGCTATTCTCAGAGTTGCCTTCCTCAGCTGTTTCCCTCCAGATGTGCTGGTTTGTACCTGCTTGAATTTCCAGTCAGCAGGGGAATTATCGGAGCTGCAGCCTAACATGCCTAGAAGGCGCCACAGTCCTAGCAGACTATTTCACAGGTTTCAAAGCCAGATAATTAATACAGACAAGCAGATATGGCATTATTAAATTAAATCAAAATCAAAATTAAATTAAAGATTAAACGTATGACCATGTTTAATTTCAGTGTGGTTGTGACACCATCTAAAACACCTCTGCTTAGATGCATTTAGTACTTCTTTGTTCAGAGTCTGTATTAGGGGTTTGATATTTGATAAAGTAACTCTGTGGTCAAATTCCAATAACAATATGTATATTAAGGCAGCCTTCCAAAGCTTGATGCCCCACAAAAGTTTTGGACATCAACTCCTATCAGTCTTAGCTATCATGAATAATAATCAGGGATTCTGGGAGTTGTAGCCAAAACATCTGGAATGCAGGAGGACAGGGAAGTCTGTATTAATGTAACAAATATATGTTTGTAGCATGGCATCAACACTCGGAATATTAAATGGGATCTGACTATATATTTTTGAGTTGGTAAAAACAATCAAGGCATTCTCAGGGTTTCTTTCTCCATGTAGCAGGACATGGACAGAACATTAACTAACAGGTTACTTTGCAGATACTCTTGGAAGGAAGAAAAGCGAAGGAGCCCCCTGTACATTCCAGTGGCACAAAACCAGGTCAGCATAAAAGCAAGCAGATTACTTTCCACAAGCAGTTCGGAGGGCTAGGGCCTGATTACTGGTTGCACAGCAACAAACCTGATCTCACCATAGGCTGAATAGGTCCCAACCAATCTGCCTTTTTGTAGGTTTCCCATATTTTCCAAACACTTCCTCATTATGCTGACACTTTAGGTGTTCATTTAAAAAATAAAAATAACTTAGCTATATACTTAAATATTCTAATCCACAAGAGAACCATATTATTCTCTCATATAAAAATTAGCAGAAAGATTCTATTTAGTGTCCTATTTGCAGGCGTACTGCCCTATCACTGATTATATTTAAATAAAATGTGCCTTCCTTGTCATTTCCAGTGCTTTTGATCCCAGTTGTTTGAAGCAGACAAGAATCTCTCAATGTTGTACGATGGCAGCTTTTTCTCCATTGGTATGCTTTTCTCAGAATTAAAACTCCACCTTCTTCTTGTGGCTTACTTTACTCAGTTCTCCCTAGCGGCAAGCTACACATCACATTCACCACAGACTGACAGGACAAAAATATTGGTACCAAAGTGCTTTCCATTAAGAGAGGGTCTTAGCCAGCGTTTACTTTGTGATGGCCACTTGCATCCACTGCCTTTTCCTTGCTTCTTCAATCTCTTCTTGGGCACTAACTTCACAGTATACAAAGAGAGATAGCTCCAATGTTCTGGGCTTAGCCTTTGCATAACAGTTATTATACAAAGGCCAAGTGCAATATAATTTGTGTATACTTAGATGTTCCATTGAATTCAGTGGGGCTTACTTCCAGAAAGTGTGCATTGGACTGTAGTTGAGGAGAGCAATTGGATGCATATTGACTCAGAAGGAAACCCCATCACGTTCAATGGGATTTAATCCCAGGCAAATGTGTACAGAATTACAACCGAGGTGAAATATACTCCAGAGGTAAACTGTAGTATGACTGGCATTAGAATTTATGTAAGGGTTGCATTTCTGTTAAGTTTGTAACTTCTCCTTCAACCTCTCCTTATCAGTTGCTTACAGCTAGATACGAGTAGACTGCAAGAATGAAAATTTAAGCTGTTGGGAGAACAGGGGCGAGCTTTTACTTGCATGGCGCAGCTAGCCGAAAACTAGATTTCCATGAAAAAATGCATCCATTTTCTTCCACCATTGCTATTTAGAAGAATTTTTATTTGTCAAGCCAAGAACCCAGCACTCTGGGCTCCAGAGGTAGAACTTCAGCTCTAGAAGCACCTGCCCTTTCATGGGAGGCAGGTGCACACACTGGAAGTAGAGGCTATTCTATACTTCTGCCCTCCCTGGATGTAGCTGCCTTCTGTGTCCAGATGTGCGACCTTGTCAACCTGCACAGATGCCTATACCTGCTATTTAAGGGTTGCTGTTCAAGCTAGCCAACCAGAGGTGGCTCATCCTGTTTGAACTTCCGAGCACTCCTTGCTTGGTGAGCAACAGGTAGAGCAATGGGTTTCTTCTAGTGATGTTTTTCCTTAGCAGGAATCTGCCATTCCTCTCCTTTGGCATTTGGAGGCACACTGATAAAGGACAAGCAATGGGCTACAGTGCCATGATGCTCAATTTGTGATTGTGAAAAATCCCTGTGAAAAAAACTACTAAAAATAAAAGCTTGCTCAGTATTCACTCTACAGTGCTCTGTGGAAGCTGTACATGCTGCACCAGGTCAAGCCTCAGGACAGTAGCCAGTCCATCAGCAACACTTGCTTAATTAGCATAGGAGGAGGAGCCGGGGCAGGGCAGGGCAGGGCAGGGCAGTATATTCTGGACAAGTAGGCACAATTGTCATTGCAAGTCCAGATGTGGCGTCATTGGCATCTGGCAAAGTGAACTTGAGTTACCCCTTTGTAAGCATGGGACAGATAGAAGCAAGGCCAGCATCAAGGGTATAGAGAGGATCAGGCAGCAGCCAAGTGCTCACATTCCATGTACTGGCACAAGTCCCCTGAAGTTACTCCTCCTCATCATCACTGCCATCTGCTTGTTCACCAGCCTCTCCCTCTGGCTCATCCAACAATGGTGGTGGTGGTGAGGAGGAGCTGCCGTTGCTGACTTGCTCACTGGCTTCTTGCCTCCCAGGCAACCAAGTGGCAACCACGAAGAGGAGGAGAAGCCACAGCAGCTGATACTGAAGACACTGAGAAGAGTCGATGAAAGAAGAGGTCCATGGAGGGTGTCCCACCCACAGGCCCTCAACCCCCTGAACCAGCCTTGGATGCAAAGTATTCACAGATGACTAAATGCAACAGTAGATTAAAAGAGATGCTCCACTACTAGTATCCAATTTGGAGAACATTTCCATGCCGCTGTAACACAATGCCATAATCCCCAATTCCTTTCCTGGGATGAAGATGGCAAAAGACCAAATGTGATGCAGCCCTTGGAACATGGGTTTTCCTACTGGCCTCAGGGGCCAATAGGGATAATTCCTGAGAGGAACTGCTCTGCTTTGACTTCCTTGCTGATAACAGCAGTATGGCCCAGGACTGTGTCTTGTGTCCCTAAGCTGGGATACAGCAAGCATGGATGGAGCAGGAGCAGGTGTTAAGTTGCAGGCTGATTGTTTTCTAATCCTCTTCAGAAGATTCAGCCAGCACAAGAGTTTCAGCAGCAGGGAATCTACAGCCTCCAGGTGAATTGAAGATGTTTTGCTTTGTTTTTTAAAGTCTAGCCTTGTGAACAGTGTGCCCTTGGGAGTGGAGGTTCAGCTGTAGTTTCCTGGGCCACCCAGTGGAATAACAAAAACAGAGATATCATCTCCAGAGCCCAGCTTGTCATTGGCCAGCCTCCAGCCACGGTCTTTCAGAACCCCTCTGGACCTCATCACCAACTCTTGGGCTACCATGGTGTACCTGGGGGAAGGGGAAAAAGAGCAGATCAGCCAGAACCCACACCCAGATCACAAGAGAAAGGATGATAGGGTATGCTGGGATTTCAATATGCGCTGGGGTGTGTACCCTGTTTACAATACTTGTCTCATTCACTTCATTGCCTGGCTGAAGCAGGAGTGCTAACTTTGAAGAGGAAGCAACAGAGGTTGTATCTGAGCCCAGCCTGTCCTCCACTTTTGGAGCATGTTGCTGAAGTGGGCTGCAACCCGCCACCAGAAACACTGGAAGCATCTGTGGCAAACTGGCTAAAGTACTGTGGTGAGACCTAGATTGCCATGACACTGATTAAGTGAACATTTAGACCAGTCATTTGCTTCCAGACAAAACTACTTGGAATAAATTATTTTGCTGGGAGTACTTTTCAGAGTTAATGTAGCACCTCTGCATTCCTTGATATACCTCCCACCCTCAGCTTCGGCCCAGGAAGAGCAAACTCATCATAAAATCCTCCACTCTTCTTTAGTTATCTCCAGCAAACCTTCCCAAAGGTTTTGCTTGTAGGTATTGCTTGCCTGCCTAGATGCTCCTCCATTTTCCCTGCCTTACTCCTTCCCCATTTCTCTCATGCTTGTGCTCTCTCTCCCCCCCTCCCTCCCCCCCCTCTCTCTCTGTGGTTTAGGCTCCCTTACTGACTCTGGCATCCTGACTCCACCTCCTTCTAGAACACTATAATTATCTTCAGAAGGTGAACACAACTAGGCTAGCAGAGTCTCTCACATTACCTCAGAGGACTGTTGTGTAGCTAAAGGGTTCCCGATTCCTTGGGGACAGAGAAGGCTGCTGCAATGAATGAGCTATGCCCACATATTCTTAAAGGAGGAAGCTTTTCATTTTGTAAATGATCAAAAAAAGTGTTTCTCTTTCAAACATTAAATGACGAACTACTGTTTATTTCTTAACACTCATCACATAAAGATCTGTGCAATGAATCCCCAGCCTTTTGTCTCTCCAAATCCCTCCCTGTGCACCTGCTTTTTTCAATAAATGAGGCTGCAGATGTGGAATTACTCTGGTAAACATGTGCCTGGGACCCTGTGGAGGAAAGTCTACTGCATGGAAAATAGCTGTTTAAAGGTTAAGGAACCCCTCCTTTTCACTGTCCTAAACTACAGACTCCCAAGGCTGCATTTCATAAAAAGCTCTTGGCACTTCATCCTACTCATGTACGTGTAACCATAAATTTCTCCACGAGACACAGAAACATGACACTTCAAGGGGTCCCAGAGATAAGAGAAACAAAAGCCGCCTGTTATGAAAGAGAAAAGGAGCAGAAGTGTGACCAGACAGCAGATAATGGACACTCAGCCTCCTAGGAAAGAGTTCCTGCTTGACCACTCATATGCCTCCTTTGCTGTCTGCCCCAGTGCTCAGGTAGGAAATCTTGCCCAACTCACCTGCAAGGGTCGTTGGGCTCATAAGACATAAGAACATCGAAAACCACATTGGCCACCTCTTGATCTGTGGTGACATCCCAGAGGCCATCAGTGCCCAGCACCAGGACATCATCTGGACAGTGCTCAAACTGTGTGAGGTCATAGATACGCACCTGCCGAAACACCACAGAGAGGAACTTCATGGGTAAATCAGAACAAGGAATTCTGCATCCATGGAAATGGACATTTCATAGCTGCTGTCTTTCAAACAGCTGTGGCCTGAATCACTGGCAACATGGTCTTCTGGGCACAGCTGCACCAGCATTGATGCAAGTGAGTTTGAACTCTGGCACTGTTTGCTTCATGAGCACTTTGCATTTGTGACTTTGGAGGTAATGTCAGTTTGCTCCTGCATGAAGAGGGATCATTGTTTTGTCATCTGGGTAAGATTGCCCTCAACATCCCTGTCACTGTGTCCTATTCCCATGTTGACCAATCCCTTCCAAATGTTCGATTTGTTTGATGCTGCTGTCTCTTACCCTCTCAAGCACCAAAATGAGCAATCTCTGCCACTCTTCAGTCTTGTGCACTTGCCAGTTAGAAGCTGCCTGCTTAAATGATGCCAATATTTGTGAACTTCTGCCTGTTTCAAACCACGTTCTTCTTGCAAAGCAAGAAGGCAAACTAACAGGTAAAGAGAAAAACCTGTGTGGGATCATTTGAACATCTAAAAGGTTGTATATTCAGATTGACAATGAGTTGTAACCAATGTTTGTCTAACTTAACTTCCGTTCATTTCAGTGGGCTACTCTATGTGGGACTAGTACTGGCCACGACCCCATAAGACATGTCATGATTGTTGCCTCAGTTAACAACTGCCTCTAGAAAAAGTCATTTGGGATGGGTCAAAGGACTCATCATTCTGTAAACCAGCTTTCCCTAACCTGGTTACTTCCAGGCAATTTGGAATACATTCCCCATCTTCCCCAGCCAGCAACTGGGAGTTATAGTCCAATACATCTGAAGCCTGGGGAAAGCAGTTGTACAGAATTACATTATATGGGAAGGAATCTTCCTCCATAGCTAAGAGCTCGGCATAAGAGCTCACATAGGCCTAGGCCAAATAATACTTAGGCAGGGAACTTACGGCTGTCTCCTCTGATATGACAGCAAGCCTGAAAGGCTGCCTAAAAATATGTTATATATATAAAATAAAGTGGTGGGGGATGGTGCTCCAAACACAGAGACCCATTTATAAGGTCGAAGTGGTTTTCTGATCTCGCAGTTGGGTGTCTGAAATATCCTGTACTCATCTGGATCCTGCCTAGTGCCATAGGACCGTGCTACCTATTCCTGCAAATACCTGCAAATACCTATTCCTGCAAGTTCTGACATCGAGGCATTTCAGAACACATGAATGCCTGGTGAGCTGGGAGTTGCAGAAAGAAAAAACTCAGAAATACTCAAATGTAATTTCCTTTTTTGAAAGAAACAGAAGAAAACAAAGGAGATCAACCTTTTAGGGCAAAATGTATGCTAGTGCAATCCTTCAATCCACAAATTCAGAGCTAAGGAACAGACCTACACTAAAGACAGCAGCAGTAGATGGAGCTGCATGTGCAGTGTTGTACAGGTCTTCCTGCTAATCTGTCACTTTTTTGTATTCTTTGCAAACTTCTAACTTGTATTCTTGTATTGTTATATTCTCCTATAACGCTGTTCCTCTATCAGCTCCACTGGCTCCCAGTTGAAGTCTGGGCCCAATTCAAGGTGCTGGTATTAACCTATAAAGCCCTAAATGGCTTGGGACCAGAATACTTGAAGGAATGTCTCCTCCCCTACAGGCCCTCACGGCCCTTAAGATCGGCTAGAGAGGCCTTCCTTCGGGAACCCTCCTTGAAGGAGGTCCGGTCTGGAGGGTGTCTACCTGGAGGAGGGCCTTCTCCGCGGTGGCGCCCAGACTATGGAATGCGCTCCACAGAGAGGTTTGCCTGGTGCCAACTTTATACTCATCTTGGTGCCAGGTCAAGGCCTTTTTATTCAACCATCATTTTAATAATTAAGGCTTTTTAGATGTTTTTAACATTTCCACAGTCACATTCTTTATTCTTTTTCTTTCTTTCTTTAGTTATGAAACTGGTTGTTAAGTTGGTTTATTATATTGTTTTAATTATTGTATCATTGTATTTTATATGCTATTTAATCTCTGTAAGCTGTCCTAAGCCATTCATAGGAAAGGACGGGATATAAATGTTTAAATTAAATTAAATTATTAAATTAAATTAGTTCTGATGTACTCACCTCTGGGATGCAGGACAGGAAAGGTTTGATGTGGATGTTGGAACTGTACACTTTGAGATCATGATCTCCCAAGCCTCGAGTCACTCCAATGGTTGCCATCATTCGAGCCTAGAAAGAAAGGAAAGTTAGAGCCAACATTACTTCTAATGGGACGTTGTAGGACTTTTTTGTGCAAACATGCATAGGCTTGTTCCTTAAAGAGTGTAGTATTAAAACTGGTATCTACTTAATAAGGGATTCATTTTCCTATGAGGAAGATGAGAAGGGGTAAACCATGCTGTCCGAGGGATTTTGGGAGTTGGTAGTCCAACACATTGGAGGGCATCAGGTTGAAGAAGGCTGGAGTAGACTGAAAAGAGTGCTGCAGAACCCAACAGCTGAGTACTTTACAAATATCTAAAGTTAAAAGCCTCTTTCTTTCTTGGCCATATTCCTTGGGGGTCAATCTGCTGAGAACCACACACGGAAGGCTGAAGTCAGCAGCAAATAGAGCCAGAATCACAAATGAACAGGGCTACTTTCTCTCTCCTTTTCTGGCACTCCTGTCATCCTCCTCCTCCTTCTTCCCCAGCCAGTGAGCTACCGGGGAAGGGACAGATTGCTTTTTAAGAACATAAGAAGGTCCATGCCGGATCTGGCCAAGCCTTATCTAGTTCAGCATTTTGTTCATGTAGTAGCCAACCAGATGAGGGCAACAGCATCCTTGTGGTCATTTCCCCCAGTAAGTGCCATACTGCTACTGATCCTGGTGTCAACATATAGCCATCATTAGCTAGTCTTATCCTCACTCATTCATTTATTGATCTGTACATTTTTATACCATGCCCTTTTTAATGAGGTGTCCAAGGTGGCTAACAACCCATTTTGAAGCTGTGCAAATTCTTGGCTGTCACTATTATTATCTGGCAGCAAATTCCATAGTTTAGCAATGTACTGTGTGAAGAAGCACTTCCTTGCAGGGCTTTTGAAATAGGAATGGCTTAAGGGATGAAAGCTCTCCATCCTAGGAGAAAGGAGGAAAAAACTCAAACCCAGTAGATCCGTTTGCTGAGTGCAGATGTTTATGTAGAGTGCCTCTATTAGTAAATATCTGCTTCAAATTCCAGTATGTCATACTCAAACCTGCATTTTATATCTACCCCATACTCTTATTTCCTCCGATAACTTGAAATGTTCCTCATTTCCCAAACACTTCCACATGCCCTCAGTAGTTCACCTTTTTACCCTCTCCATACACAAGTGGAAATTTCAGGTCATCTTCTTCTATCCTTTTGTATGCCCTGTTTAGAAAAAGAAAGATACAAAACTTCTTTAGCAATACAGGTAAATGTTACCATCCTCTTTTACCTGTTAGAGCCGGAGTGAACAGAAGACAGACTGGAATGTATTAGCGGTATGGGTGATTTTTAGTAGACCAGCATAGGATAAGAACATTACAAGAGCTGTGCCATATTAGACCAAGCGGCCATCTAGTCAAGTATTCTGTTTGCACAGGGGCCAACTAACTGTCTATGGGAAACCCACAAGCAGGACATCAGCACAACCATACCTGGTGCCCATGTTCTCCAACAACTGGTGTACTGAGGCATACTGCCTGCCATAATGGAGGTACCATGGGGTCTAGAAGCCACTGATAGCCTTCTCCTTCATGAATTGGTTCAATTACCTTTTAAAGCCATCAACATCAGGGTTCCCGATTCCTAGTCTAACAATGGCAATAATTAAGGGCACGGTCCTATGTATATTTAAACGGAGAAACAACTTACAACTCCCAGTATGCTGACTGGGGAATGCTTGTAGTTGTAGGACCTTTTTTTGTCTAACCATGCATAGCATTACACCTGAAAAAGTGTTTTTCTTCTAAAATCCACTGCTGAAGAAGAATATCTGGGAGAAAAGCAGAAGTGGATTTTTGTGTGGAAGGACTTGTGGCCTTGCTTCTGGGATCAATCACAATTTCTTTGGCTATTCAGACATACTCTGTTCCCTTAATTCTTAGAATATGTCCAGCCACTTGAGCAAGTGTTTTGCACTTGGCTTCTGTTTATACTTATCAAGGTTCCAGAGAAAGAGAGAGCAAACTAGATTCTCAATCATATGTCTGCCTACCCCTACATTAGAGAATTTCCAGGTGCCCAAATAAGAGCAACTGAATGCTGTTTTCCCCACAGCAAGCAATTATCAAGCCAAGTCAGTCTCATGTCATTTGGTCATTCTCTTTAGAAATATGCACACATATATACGCACACACTCATACATAGCCACACTATTAACATCACATTGTTATCTTTGATCAAACAGGATTTTTGAAGTACTACAAAAATCTGTTTATGTAATTGCTGGATTAGTAGTAGTAGTGATGATGATGATGATGTTCCCAGCCTGAGTTATATAACAAGAAGGAAACAAAGAGAAAAAAGATTTTTCCTAATCCCAGTGAGTAAGTCATGGAATGTCCTTTTTCTTGAACTCCTGAAAACTTTTGAAAAATCAGTGTGATCTAAGGGTTACCAGCCATTCATGTTTTGGTCCCTGTAAAGCATCTTCTTTCCCAGTTCCTTTTGCTGGATCCTTCGTGGGAACTCAAGGTGAGTAAACTCATTTCCCAGCAACTCAGGACTCAAATATCCCTGTGAGAGACAAGAGTGAAATTTAGTTGCAAGCTTCACCTGCATCTTCCACACTGAGACAAAAGATAGCCAACTGCCAAACTCTGGGGGAGCACTGAAGAAGAATCCTCTGGGGGAGCACTGCAGAAGGGACTTCTAAGCAACGGAACACATACCACCCGCAAGGCCAGGGAACTGCAATAAATAGCTTGTCTGGAGAGAGGCTAAGATGTTATGCTTTGCTTTCCATATGTTAGCTCTGAAAGCAAATGGGTGTCTGTGCACAGAGACCGTGATTTCTCTCTTTTGCAGGAAAAGAACTGGGTCTTATCACACTTTCAACTCAGCTGTTTCTGTGCTTGCCCACTTCTCTGAAAGATTGTATCTCATGACAAGATGAAGCATGGAGAGACAATGCACAGCTGGGGTTTTTCCCACAGTCTCAACAAGCATCTGAAATGGAAACAGAAGCTGAAGCTGTTAAGAAGCAATTTAGGAAAACTGATAGAGTTGGCTCTGTGTGTCTCTTTCTCTCTCTGTATTCTGCTCACAGAAATCACACTCCCAATCTGATAAAAGGTTTTACTATGGTAATATTCTCTCTCAGTCTCTCTCTCTCTCACACTCAGTGAGAGAGAGGGAGGGAGGGAGGAAATACAAAGGAAATTAATGCGATGCATTCCAAAGGTATATTTAGCATTTGTGGTTCTCTTTCATCCTGCAAAAGGAAATCACCTTCTTTGCCTGGCTCATTAACGAGCCTTTACTTTTTAGAGAGGGCTTCATGACTCTCATGACTTGTCAATGTCCACAAAAGAGGATATTACTTAAAAAGCCAACCTTCAGCCAAGGGGCCCACCAATGTTTACCCAGAAGGAAGTCTCTTCATTCCACAACCTTCTAAGCCTAGAGCCAACAGACAGAAAAGCTGGCAAAGATTGGATCAGTAGGTTCTTTAAAAAACATACCTTGAAAGGGTGGCAAAGTATGCACATTTGCTTCCTGTACTTATGAGTCTGACTGCTTGCGATTTTGACAGTAGAGTGTAAAGGGGTGTAACTAATCCATATCAATTAATTTTAAGCATGCACACTATTTACAACTGGGACTGAGCATTCAAGTGTCAGGAGGTGAAACACAGCGAACATCCCATGCTTTTTGTTTTCTGGTAAAAAACATAGCTATGGATTACACAGATCAGGTTTCTCTCTTGCAGTGAATGATTAAGATCAGTATCACAGACCCTGTTAGTACACGGCAAAGGACCGTCACCACAGCACTACTTATGGCAAAGGGCTAGACCTATAAAAGGGGTTTGGTTTGAACCCTTTGGGGGAAGTGTAAGATTGGTTTTCGGAGTGCTCAGTTTCTTTATCACAGCTGAAAAGGATCTGTTACTCAATTCCATTTCCTCCCTTCCTAGGCAGGGTGACTGTTTGGCTGTAAGAACAGCAGATATTCTTACCAAACACCATTTGGTGCTTTGCCAAGGAGATGCACATGGAGCCAGGAAACATTGGCCAGCTTGTGCTCACTCGGGAACCTCTGCACTTCACCGGGCTTCTTTCCTTTCTGCTGTCTTAGGAGGGAATTCCTGTTATACTCAAACAAGTTTAACAGAACATTGACTACTGCTGCTAACAGGGAAGTGCGGCTGTGGAAGTTGGCAAATAGGGTATGTAGGAGGGGTCTGCTTACCCCGTGAATGCATTTTGGGAAGCAAAGTCAAGTCACAGAAAGGAAAATGTGGGCGAATAAAGCATTAGCATCCCTCCCCTCTGCCACTGCTTCTAACTGCCCCTAAAGCCGTTTTCCCCTTCCAATGCCAGTTTTTGTTGTTGTTTTTCTATGTGCGTGTAGTCTCATGCTTGAAGCCTTTCAAATAGTGGAAAAGAAAGCAGTTTTCTACAAGCCAGAGACAAATGGTGGCTAAGGAACCGTGAGTGTCCTTGACTCATCATCCTGCACTTCTCCGTAGTACGGCTTTTTCCTATATATGTAGGCTGAATGCTTTGATGGACATGACCCATTTTTGGGGGGGGGGGTGTATAGTCCTTGAAACTATACCTTGGGGATCATTATTACTATAAAGGCAGAACATCCACTCTTCTAAAAACTCTGGACCAAATTAGACATGACATTAATCGAGTAAATGTAGGTGATGTACATTTACATTTTAAAAAAGAAAAGAAAAATAGCAGTTTTTGAAACAACAGTTATGAAAGAAACATCAAGAGTGCAGGGATTGGTGGGAGAGCATAGCCTCCACCTTGGCAAAAATGCCTAAAAGGTTAGTGAAGCAGGACTTTTGCAGAAGCCACACTGATTCATTTCAGCAGGGCATGTACTTCTGTACTACTAACTTTATCTACTCTTTCATCCAATTTATTGAAAACAAATGTTAAGCTAATCAGACTAAATTGATCTCCAGAATCCCACTGGATCCCTTTTGAAAATATTATTGCTCTGCTGCCTATTCTCCAGATTTCTGCTCCAGAGATCTGACAACTTTGTTGGATTCTTTTTCTCTTTAAATGTGCATAGTTTTCCATGTACCCTGCAAGGGGGTGCTGTTCAGAAATGTAAGGACTGTACAACATCCCCTGGTTGGGAAACTAGTTTGTCCTGTTCACTGCTACCCAGATTTGCTTAGCTAAAAATTGTGTTTTAGTTAGCTGACCCCACAGGCAGTTGTCTTCTTCAATCAACTCTCTGGAATGCTGGAAGTCATTGTTAATACAGATTTAGCATCTCAAGTGTACGCCTAGATGGATTAGTTTTGGCTGCACTAGCTTGTGGTGAAGGTGGTGGTGTGGTGATAGCAATGGCAGATTAAAAAAATACATACATCAGATAGGAAGAAAGTTCTTTCTTACTAAAAACTGCAGCCTTTGCCTCTCTGTCTCTGGAGTAAACTCCCTGGACATTGGAATGATTTCCCCATTACGGATGACAATGGCCCTGCAATGAAACATGGAATGGTGACATTAGAAAGAGAAAGTGAGAGAAAAGGGACAGCATAGAAGGACTAGCAGCAGATACATAAGAGGGCAAAGGGATGCAGTGTTAGCTAAGAGTACTGGATAAGGGGAGGGGCCATAGCTGAGGGGCAGAGAACCTGCTTGTCAGGTAGGGCTGGAAAAGAATCCCACCTGAAACCCAGGAGAGTTGCTGTTGACATTACAAGGCCAGACAGACCAGTGTTCTGACTTGTAAAGGCAGCTTTCTATGTTCGTGTGAAATGACAGTTTTCCATGACAGAACATCTCTGTGAAGGAGCAGGGAAAGCACAGATATGAAAGGTGGCACAAGCGTATAAACTGGGCAGCTGACAAATGTCACAGATCAAGTGGTCTAAGGCTGTCATCCGCCACTGAGTCTCTTCCTATGGGTGTGGTTGTTCGTGGGTAACTGCAGGGTTCTTGTTCTGTGCTATCTTACATCTTCCAGACCAAAGATCTGTCAGTCAGAGAGGCTCCTGTGGCCTACTGTCCACAAGGACTGCCAGAGAGGCTCCTGGAAAAACTCCATTCCTGGCTGTAGCGCCCTTTCTTTCACTAATTTAGAATTCCTTCCTGCCTTGATCCAAGGGCTGGTACTGGATTTTAATTGGTCCTTATTTTATCCTTCTAATGATCCTGCACATAAATTTAGGCTGAGGCACAGTGACTTGTCTGGGGCCCCTCCATGATGCTTAAGGATTAGTAAATGCAGTCAGGTCTGTCAAATCTCATCCTAGCACTATTGCGCAGGTGTCACTGGGAGGATCACATGAAATCAGGCAAGCAGGGGGTGTGCAAGTGGAGTTGTCAGACACAGGCATCCCTGGTCCTTCCCATAATTTCCAGAATTTTCTCTAAAAGGCAGAACGTGGGAGACACATTTAATAAAGTGGGCTCCATTTCATGAAAGCTTATGCCAGAAAATACCTATCCCTTAAGGTGTATACTTTCTTATCGTCAGCTAGCTGCAAGAGATGAACATGGCCAGCATTCCAGAAGTTAGGAAATTCTTGGTGGTCTGTTTGTCCTCACACACCTAGCAGGACTAGTACTGGGCTTGGATAAATAGAGCAGTGTGTGAGTGTGGCTGGGGGGAATCCAGAGCAAGAACATTCCAAATGGTGGGTGTTTGCTAATGATGAGGGCCATCAATAAGTTGTGTAAGGTACAAACTTGTACATGTCTAGACACAAAATGGCGTACAACTCCCAGCATGCATCTGTCAGCCATGAGAAAAGAAGCATGGTCGATTTCATGGATCACCATTCACCAAACATTCAAATCTCCTGCCAGTCTATCAAGTGGCATCCAAGCAACCCTACTTATTGGGGGATGCAGGAGAGAGAAGGCACAGGTTCCTATGGCTGAGATCCTCTACCTTGCTGATGGCCATTCATCGAGATCCAAGAGTCATGCTATGGATAATGACAGCTGCATTTTGTGTTTGTTTTGCATTGCATTTATACCCAGCCTGCCTACCTCTTTCAGGGAACCCAGAGCCACTTTCAAGGTTCTCCTTCTCTCCATTTTATCCTCCCAATAATAACCCTGTAAGGTAGGTTAGGTTGAAGGCTGAGCGGGGACTAGAATCCAGATCACCCACATCCCTAGTCCAACACTCTATCATACCACACTGGCTAAATATCAGTGCTGGCTGGATTGAAAAAACGTCTTTGATGGAAACTCTGATGGAAAGATCTTGTCATAGACTTGAACTCAAATTCGTCACTGGGTCAAGCTCTGCTCCGCTCATTATTCAGATCAGAATAAGTGGCAGTTCCAATGCACTCAACCTACCCATCTTCTCTTCCACTTGGCTTGTTTATAATGCCCACAGAAAAGGTCGTATTGGTGTTTCAGTGCAGAACCTTGAAAAAGGCTAGCACGTACATGCAGAAGAGAAAGAGAAGAAGGGGGACACAAAGCCAAGACTTGCTGGCTTCATAAATTGCAATGGTCCCCCTAGTTCAGTAAGCAGTACCCTCATTACATTCATAATTTCTTGTGTTAAAGTTTCTGCAAGACATTTAACAAGGTGCAAGGCACCCAGAAATTACTGATAGTCCAGGTTTAGGACTGAGCCACTAAAAGCAATAATACCAATCCACATTTTAGCAAGGGGGTATTGACACAAGAGACTGAAATTAGTTTAAGGTGCAGTCCCATGCATATATAGACAGAAGGAAGTCTTCCAACTTTTGGGGGAATGCTAGAGGTTTGTAGGATAGTTTCCTGCCTAAACATGCCTAGGACTGTATCCTTAAAACTATTCCTGAGCCTCTTCTCTGTGTTACCCACATGAAAGGTGCTCTACAAGTAGGAGGAGTGGTAGAGCCATACCGCTGCCTCTGCCCTCAGTGCTCTATGGTTCCCCAGCCCCATCCCTCAAACTGGAAGCTATGATCATAATGCATCATCCTGTGTGCAATTTGGAACCCTGCATGACCTGAGCACCAGGTCCTGCCAATGCACACGGATTTCTTTTCTTTTTTTTCTGATGTCCACTATTTACATTCATTTATATTTAAATTTAAAGGCCTTTACAGCCATGTGCAACCAATATCTAAAAACACAGTACCACTGAAAACTTATTACAGTCATTGTCTCAAACACTGGAGTTAGACCCCAGAGTCGGGTCATGGCCTGCCCTGATGTGGGCTGCAGTATTAGCACCCCAGTGTCCCTGTTTCATCCATTTGGTATCTTTTAAGAGAGGGAGGACATATCGACATATAATAACAGCAACAAAATTAAGGATGAGTCCCATATTGCAGTTCCAGGTTAAAAGTGGGTCTGAACAGGTGGGTTGCCTTCCATAAAAGTTTTAAGCCTCTCAACAGTTGAACAGCCTCCTCTGTATATCATTCTGCCCTTGCAGCATGGAACTGTGCACTTAACCAGTCACAGACTCCACAGATACAGACATTTGGACCCACTACTTAAAGCCTTGCCTCCAGGTGTTTGCTCCTATTGACGGGGTCATAGCAATTGTACCCTGCCTAGCATGGATCACCTCTGCAACAGGCATCTTCACAACTGAACAGCTGTGGACTGTCCGCTGACCCCACAGGGCTGGAGTCAATGAAGACTAAACTCAGCCCTCCAGTGGGGGTTACCAGATCTGAGCAAGCTTAGTATATTTACTATAATTATACCCCATCTTTCTTCCATGGTTGTATTCAAGTGGATGACATAGCATTCCCAAGCCCTGATCAGATGTGCTACTGCTTAGCTTCAGCAAAATGACCACAACACATGCCCTGAAACCATGTTGTAGAACCCTCTCTCCTGCTGTCTGGGTACTGTCTCATTTTTCATTGCAAAGTAATGCTTTGGGGCTAGGCAATGATTACATAAGGGCAGGAAATATTCTGATACAAAGCTTGCGTGTCTCTGCCTAATGTGGGACAGCAGAGGAATAAAAATAGATTTAAGTTGTTGCATTATGATAAAGAATCCTGAACACTTTGCAGAAGAATCCCTTTAAGAACCTTGGGCCGAATCTAAGAATTATATGTATTAATGTTGTGAGGACTAACAAAAATTGCTAACAAAAAAGGACATTTAGAAAGATGGAAATGGAGTATCTTTGCCTGAGAAGAACCTCTGAAGCCAGTTTCAGTACTTCATGGCACTAAGAGCTTACCGAATCCATTGCAAGGGCAGCATAGAAATGTGTGCACCCAAGAACCAAATAAATAAATACATCTTTGAATGGATGCTTCCTCAAAAAGTTGTGTTTGGCTGAGTGTGTACTTACTGATCTACCCAGAACTGTCTCAGACTTCTGCAGGCAGTTGTCTTTAGGTTGCATCCAATGCTACTCAATGCCAGTCCACTGAAATAAATGGGAATTCAGTTTGGCTGACATTGGATATAGACCTTTCTTTGTAGATCTACATGAAAGGCAGGTTTCTTCTGGGCTCCCCTCGGTCATAGCAAGGTTACTTGCTCATAAGGGTGTGTTCCCTTCCCTAACTCAGTGGCAATGATTGTGATAGTCTGCAGTTTACTTCTGCGTGGCAAGTCAAATCTCATCCTTCTGGTAACACCATGGCTGGGGCTGACATGACCCAGCAAGCAAAAGAGAAGCCTCCCAGGCCCCCTCCTACCTACTATCACCTGCATTGGCCACATAGAACTTCCCCAGGAGATAAACCACCACCAGGGCACAGCAGCCTCCAGACACATGCCGGGTCACCCGTTCCTGCTCGATCTGATTGTCCTGAGGAAATAAAAAACAAGGCACAGGTGGAACGTGGCTTCCTGACACGAGGAGAAGACAGGGCTGTGACTGAACTTGGGAGAGAAGACTCTATACTTTTTGCCTTCTCCCAGTTTCTCCTCTTCTCTGATTTGGGTTGTCCTGAATGTCAAGATATTGTCCAATCTTAAATTCAGTTCATTCTGAACTTTGACAATAAAAAGAGTTTGCATGAAAATTTTTATATATTCATGTATGCAATTTTGCCTCCTGTACACTTTCTGTGAGGAATTTTGAAAGTTACTTTCATGCATAGATGCATGTTTGTATTCATTTTCTCCTAATCTGCACATTATTTGTAAGTATTCTTTTTTTCTGCTTTTGGATTGGAGACCTCCCTTGCAAAACTGAGAAAGTGTGAATTTTGAAGGGGGTGAGTTTTGGTTTGCCTACTGGTTTGAAAGTACAAAATGAGATAAGGACAATGTAAACTGAATGGATTTCTCTCCCATCTCTGAACTGGCTGCTGAGAGTACATGTATGCATCAAGTAATCCGTCCCTTCATAGTGCCTCAAAGGGTCACTTCATTGCCCAACTGACTCCTACTGCACTTTCCACAGAATCTAAGCCTGGCAAGATGCTTTGTGCTGAGGCCCAAAGGACACACTATATGCAAGTATACAGAAGCCCAGTAGTCTGTTTTAAGTAAGGAAAAAGACACTTACAGTTTGAATTATGAAAATAACCAAGGACAAACACCGCTTCGGTTGAATGGTGGCCATTTATATATTACAAAAAGGAAAAGGGAATGTCAGAGAAGGATGGAAAGAGGCACAGATTTGCATTAAATTTGCACAGGCAAATTAATTTTATGTGCACAGATGTCCATTTAGAATGAATTATTTTAACAAACCATAAACCAGGCTTCCTCAATCTGGTACCCAGATGTTTGAACTGCTGTTCCCATCTTCCCAGACCAGTGGCCATGCTGGCTGAGGCTAATGGGAGCCGAGCACAAAACATTTCAAGGGACCAAGTGGTCCAGGCCTGCTATAAATGATCTCTGCATGTATATAAATCCCTTTACGATCGTGTGCATCTGATATTTTCCCATTCTCTATTTGTCTACAGTACAAAGGCAAAATCTTGGGAATTAGTTAACCCAAGTGTATACCATTTACACCTGATGTGATGGTGTCCAGGTACTCTGCACTGTGTTGTTTGAATCTGCTAACTGATGACTCTGACGACTTTCTGAATCTAAGAAAACCTCTGGAATCCTTTTACAAATTGTTTAACTATTTCCTTTTGGTCTCCTCTCAGTTTCTATTCTGCATTTGCTTGTTCCTGTATTGTGGCAAGCAAACAGAAGTATTCTGAGATCTATTCCCTGTTTTATTAACAGAATTGTATCTCTTCCTCCATTCAACCCCACCAGCATGTCTCGTCTGCTGTGAAAAGCAAACAATTCCCACCTTAGACAATCTGCTTTGATTCCTCCCTCCACTTTGGGCCAACCAAGACATGGTGCTAATTGTATGTAAGCAATTACTCAACACGATTATTTTCTTTAAATAGCTGACATGGGGATGGGAGGGATGAGACCGCAGCGTGCTGGGGAGGAAGGCTGCGCTTTTCCTCTTGTGCTGCAAGCCCAACAAAACCACCCCCGCCTAAAGCTGCCATTGGTGCCAATTGGGAGCATCCCTCTTAGGTCTAAAAACAGACTTGAGACAGCCTGGATGAGCACATTTCCTTTCCAGCAGCCATGCCTCCTCTGAAAGGGATCCCTTACCAGATGTAACAGTCACAGTAACAGGTTGACATTTGCATGGCTTTAATATACAGGTTACTCTTTGCAGAGCAAAGAAGCATGTGCTGTTCCAATGACATCATCTGTCTGTGAGTGCTAGTGTCTCATCACAAGATATTATCATGGTGTTTGAGTATCGTTGAGGAAGTTTCTGCCCACACAATGATCCCAGAATGCACTGGGCATTCTTCCAAAAGCAGGCCTGGAGAAAGATCTTTAAAACAAAACAAACCAAAACCAATCAGAGCACAGTAGAGCTATGCAGAACTAATAATTGCAACAGAGTAGAAAAGAAGAAGGCAAAGAGACCTCTGTCTATTTTCAAAGACTAAAACTCTGTGTTAGTGGTGGCAAAACAGCAATAACATCTCACTGATGCAGTTCTGGATGGCTCAGCATATATACGTAGATGTAAACTCCGCTTGTTTCAGATACATGAGTAAAAGATTTCACCCTAAAGCTCCCCCTGATAAAAGTGAGCCTTTTAATTCTTCCGGTTACTTCAAGGTCATATTTTCCAGCAATGTCTTGGACTGCTTTCTGCATGACAGATTGTGACAGATTGTGGTTACCTGTGTGAAGCTGCTACCACAGCACGTTCTTTCACACATATCTACTTCTATCTCAAGAAGCTCAGGCTGCCTGAGATGCATGTGGGTGGGAATGAATGATCTCTAATTCTGGCTCCATGACAGTGGCAACGCAGGGAAGAGCAATCGCGAAACAGCTGTAGCTTTTCATGCAGAAAACCACGTATTTCAATTATCTTAACTGATGATTAACTCAGTAACATGGTTTCACTTGTAGCTTTTATGCAAAGCCCCACTTCTGTTTTATTCACAAAGAAAAAGAGAAGAGAAAAGCATCTCTAGAAAAGAACTGATGCCCACATCCTACCCAGGCCACTGAATTTATACAGCTGAATAGCTCATCTAAGCTCCTCTCTGTTCACTGGGTCTCACCAATCAAGCCTGGCTTGGATCTAAAAATAAAAATAATAAAAAAGAAAGAATAAAAAAGAAAGGGAAGGGAAGGGAAGGGAAGGGAAGGGAAGGGAAGGGAAGGGAAGAACAAATCTTACTCTGGAAACATCCATATCATAGAAAAACTTGCTTGAAATGAATTCCCACTATTCTTTATGGTTTTATGAAAGGGTGGTGGAGATCACAAAAAGTTTGCTCAATAACTTTAGCAAGCTAAAAATCCCAGGGTCATGGGAGAAGTCATGACTAGTGTAAAATGGTCCTGTGTTGATAGTGTATGTGCTTTCTGTGTACTTGATTCCCCTGGCAGCTACAGAATCAGGGCCAAACATTTACAGGGCTGAGCTGCAGAGGAATAGCCAACCAGAGAGGCTCCTGGTCTGCAGCTAGGTAAGCAAATACTCTGTCAGACTAAAATAGTCTGGGGTCACCATGTCAATATCTTGGCTGCAAAAGGAAGTAGAGGCACATTCCTGATGGAAGTCAGCCAGGCAGGATCGGAACATATCCCTTTCGCTGGTGCTCTCTCCTGTTTGCATGATTTCATGTCATGCCTGTCACTATGGAGGCTGTGTGGGGTGATACAAAATTGTTCTTGTGTATGTATTTAAATTTCTTCCATCCCCAGTCCCAGATAATGTAATATGGCCATGGCATCTATCCTTATCTTGTTTAAAACTGTGAGATAAGCTAGTGAATAATTTGTCCAAGGTCATATATGCAGGGATCTTTAATTTCTATTTTTTACCCTTGTATCTTCCATGTCCAAATTCAACCTTTGACTCCACTCCACTCCACTCCTGAGCTGGGATCAAGCTCAAGTTACAAAGAAGGCAGGCCCAGAATGAGATAAGATGGACTACTTGCAGATTAAGCCGGTCCATACGCAACATTCCAAAGACTGCACCAGGCTACAAAATGGATTTGGGACCTTTGTGAACCTAGAACAGCATTCCTCAACTTAGGCCTTCGAGATATTTTGTACTAGAACTCCTAGTGTCCCCAGCAAATGGCCATTTTGGCTGGGGATTATGGAACAGGTAGTCCAACACATCTGAAGGGCACTGGGTTCAGGAAGACTGCCTATAGGATTAGCTTCTTTTGGTCAGCATCTCCCATTCCCCAGCTCACTCACCATCTGCTTGAATGCATTCTCAATGGCTCCCACCACCAAACTCTCATGGGAAATGACCTTTTCCATATGAAAGCGAGGCAATGCACTGTTTGGTACCTCCACATCTTCTTCTGCCAGAGGAGCCTTGTTTGGTTGTCCTAGAACTGTTCTGGAACCCTCTGGCAGGGCAATTGGAGGCGGGGATGGGTCTTGTAAGATGTCTATCACGTCTCGGAGTTGATCACGGATATGGAAATGAAGCAGCTTGGAAGCCATGATTGCAGCCCCACTTCCCGCATGTCCATCAAACAAGCCCCAGTAGTAAAAGCACAGCCCTTTGCTGCCCTGCAGAGGAAGGAAAAGGAATGAAAGATCAGATGAAAGAACTCTCCTGAAGAAATGCCAAAAGAAACAACATTCAGTTTTAAAAGGTAAGAGACGAGAGTCAGTGATGCTCCGGCACAATTCTGCAAGCTGTGCAGCTCAAGGTTAAAGCAACACTCAGTTCCTTCTCTGCCAGGGATTAATTAACCCTGCCTATGCACTTTTGTGCACAGGCTTCAAGGAACATTCTTGTTCTTGGTTTCCTAACCTCCAGCACTGCAATATTCACAAGTGTGTGGGTAGGTGGCACATGAGTGAAGTGCACATACTGCAGATTCATGCTGTGCTCACTTCTGCCTGCTATGCTAGACAATGGGCCAGATGAGACCCTTGAAGAGTCAAATGTCTTGTGTGAACAAACCCTTACTGGCTGGTGGCTGGGGTCAGGAGAAAAATTCAGGCCAGAATTTTCTAGAACTGAAAATTAATTTTCAGACAATGCTGCAGTCATCATCTTGCTCACCCCTTCTGAACCTCCAAGCGTTTCCTTGGGAGTTGGGTTATTCCTCAGGTTGCGTCTCTTTTCCACAAACACTGCCTCACAGCAAGCTTGATCCTCATTGTGCTGGCTCTTGCCAGCATTTATCACCCTGAACAGGACAGAGAAAGGCAAACAAGTGGAGCAAAGGATTAGGAATAGGTGCTTTGAGTTGATCAGTGGACTTAGTTTTGTCTACGCATCCTCAGCTCTTGTACAATGAGCAGACAAAATGGGGACACATTATTGTTATATTGTCACTATTTTAAGAAGTAGAACCACAACTAGCATACAAGGTAGTCCTGGGTGGTCACCTGACGAGGGCCCAGCTTGACAGAAGCCCACTGAAAAGAGCCCTCTGGGCCTACTTCTGTTCTTCACCATTGCAACCTTGTTCACCTGCCTCCTATTCTGGCCAGACAATTGTGATGATGAGAAAGACAAGCAGTGGATGCTACTGCTGACTTGCTCTCTGCAAACATACAGTAACAATCAGAGGAATGAGAAAGGGAACTGTAGCAGCTGTTGCCAGTGGTGGTGAGAAGGTAAAACTCCCTGTGCTTGTGGTCCATTGAGGGCATCTAGGCCAAGGGCCTGCAGAAGCATGGAGCCAGTGTTGACTGGAGGACAATCTGAGAGGGGACTTGTACACCAAGAGTGGATTTGCTCAGTGTACTTTGGCATCTTGGCTTCTACTTCATTTTATGGAAGAACTGCCCCTTTTCTTACCCTATGTAGACCTTCAATAAACAGCTTTTCCTAGCTTTTGTAATGTCTATTAGTGAGAAAAAGAAAAAAAGAAAGAAAGAAAGAAAGAAAGAAAGAAAGAAAGAAAGAAAGAAAGAAAGCTGTGCTTACACCAAAGGAAGCTCCCTCCCTCCCTCCCTCCCTCCCTCCCTCCCTCTCTCTCTCTCTCTCTCTCTCTCAAACCATGTTCAGCAATTAAGATAGCTTCAGCTCAAGTGAAATTACATTATGTTCCTGGCTTCCCAGAGAAAGCTATTGCTTCAGAACTTTGCTCAAGCCTTCTGAAGAAGCCCAAATCTCTCCTGAAAGTGGAGTCCTTCAAGACAGGCAGCAGCCAACATATCTCACAGCCCAGAACTAAATGAGCAAAATGAAACATGGGTTCATAATCATGGTAGTTAAACAGGTTCTCTCTTGCAAGTTTTCCTTATTTTCAATAAATGAAAAAGAGCAATTCACGTTCAGTTGCAAAACCCAACTTTGTGGGGGGAAGCTGTAGAAATGTAAAACAGGAAGTCTTCCTGGACAAGATTTTGTAGCAATACTGAAAGAAAAGAGTTTGACACTGCAGAGGTGTGGTTGGAACAGATCTCAAGGGATTTTAAAAAATATTTTTAAATATATTATGTGTTTCTGAAGTAACACAATTTTTAAAAGAACAAAGAAGTGTAGAACACATAGAAGTGTGTGAAATGCCACCTTTGTAAATGGCTAGACTGCAGCTGCTCAGAGAACAAAGATTTTTTTCCAAGTTTTTTGCTTGTAAGCCAATGGCACAAGTACACTGCAATCTAGGCGGTTCAGACTCATCCCAGACTTAACGTTTCAGTACCAGCTGACTAAGCAAACAGTGACAGATGAACTTTAAAATAGCTTTTCTGTGGCACACCAAGAAAGACCTCTAATTCAGACCTTTTCTTTTATTTTGCTCAAATAAGCTCACTATGGGAACAAGGATCCTATAATGACCAAAATCAGTGGGTTGGCTCTTGGGGTTGATTTCCTCCTATCCCAACTACCTCCCATCTCCATGATCACTCATTTAGGGGACACCCTACCATGCATGCACATCATTATTGATACTCATTTTATTTTATTTTTACTTTATATATACAAGAAAATGGGGTGAGAAAAGCCATTTCCCCTACACCATGATTCCATACTTGCATTTCTGTTTAAAGCCCAAAAGCTCAATTCGAAACACTTTTACTTGTGGCAAGATTTCACTCCAACACTCCAGTTAAGCCTGCTTAAACCAGTGCCCTAACACTGGGCTCCCATGCATGCTGGGGTGAATTTCACATAAGCACTGTACAAGGGGCGGCATAGAAATGTTATAATAATAATAATAATAATAATAA